TCAAACTATCATGTTTGAATTTTTAGCTAGTAAAATTGGTCTATGTTACTGCATGATTCTGAGGAACGGAAAAATTTGCCATAGACAGCTGTATGTAATATATACTGTAGGCTGATTTGATCTTATGAATAAGCAAATTATGATATATTTAGCTTTTACACACACCCATTTCAGCTTTTTTCTTAGCTGCCCTGCTCCTTCGGTCTTCCCAGTCGAGTTTGTCTCTAGAATGGAAAGTTGTTGTAATACTAGTAGTAACTTGTAGGGATATACAGGATATTCCAGTGTAGCAGGAGACACAAGCCTAAAATCCATGCCGTGCACCAAATTTATCATCATTTATTATCGTACATGCTCGCGGAAGCCTTTAGCTAGAAACAAAACAAAACCCTCTGCACTGTAACTAAGATACCATGTCCTTGCTTGAGGTCAATGCCAAATAAACAGCATCACAGGAACCTGACAGCACCAAAATACAACCTGGATAGGATTGCTCTGTTTGTTTTGGTTGTCTATCCCTCACAAGCTGTATATACATGTTTCTCAGTGGCTTCACTTCCTTGTTAACATTGTGAAGTCACATTAATTTAAAGCCCAAGTTACAGTGTACTAGTTTGGTTTTTTAAGAACATGAGGAAGCCGAGTAATTAAGCAAATTGTATGTTATGGTAATGGTTAGCCCCTACTGTATTGTTGTGTTGGGCCATATGATTATGAAAGAGGAAATAATTGTTTTCACAGTTTTAGGAAGCATTGTGAATAGACAGTGTCCTAGCAGTGTTGCATGCAATCTGTATTTTCACTTACCCTGATTTTCTAATGAGGTATAATTGTATGTGAGGGCCTCACATACAATTATAGTTTATACCTCATTAGAAAATACCATTATAATATATTCAACTACCCTAGTGGAATTTTCTTTGCCATTGATTATAAATTGTAGACAAGGTAATTGAAAACATTACTCATGGATTTTCATGAATTTTGTTCAGGATTAATACATATCCAGTTTTGTAGCCTTTGATATGTTGTCTGCATTAGCCTTTGTAGTTTTCCTGGAAATATGTTGTGCTTATACATATGCATCAAGAAAAAAGGCGAAGGCTTTGTCCCCAAAACGTTGTACCTATTGGTAAGTGTATTGAAAATTCAGGGTACTTCAGGTCAAGAAGAATCCTGTTTTGTTTTCATGTTTACCCGGCAAAGTGAACATTGATATATGACAATTTTTCAATTTGATAGCTGCCAAAAGGACAATTTTTAGGTTTTATTGAAGTATGGACCAAATAATTATGTAACTACTAACTACTGTAAATCCATTTAAAAATGCGGTTGGAAATTATAGCGGTCGGCGAAAAATGGACAACCTCACGTCACTTAATTATAGCGGTGTGAACATGGCTGATGTGTGTAGAAAAATACATTAAAACGCTGGCCTTTTTTTTTAAGAAAATAAAAAAAAGCAGTTTACGCCAGCGAAAATCGATTTTTACAAAGAAA